GGTGGGGGGAGGGAAGTGCACTGGACTGTGGTGATGGCACACGGGTGATCTGGTGATGGGAAGCCCACGGGGATTTCAACTGAGATGGAAAAAGGCACAAAATGATGTAAAAATAAGCTTATGTTTAAAAAAAAGTGGGCTAGGGGAGAAAATTTAGGGAAGTGTATGTCCTATGTGATATTTTCCTCGAAAGTTTTAGCTTATTAGTTCACCATTTTCTAAAGAGGGTTTTAGTTTAAAAAAACAACAACTCAGAATCAAGTGGGAAACCTGTTTCCTGATTTTAGTCATCTTGTAAGAAGTCCACGAAGACCCCCAGCGCCTCAGTGACGCACTCCGTCGGGGCCGGGAGGAGGCAGGTGACCTCACAGCACGCAGATGGATGACACACATCACACTCGCTTAACACTGTTTCCCACCTTTGCTTGATTAAATAAAAATTGTCTCTGCATCAAAGTCGCAGTGCGAGCTGTTCGGCTGTTGAAGATAGGTCGTGAAGATAGGAAATAAAGTAGGTGGTGCACCTTTAAATGAATTAGTATTTAAAATTCAACAAAGAAAAACGCCATTTGTTTGGTTAGGTTATTGTGAACACGGCAGGTTTGATCTGGAAGCTGGAGGTTAAACCTATAATTTTCTTGTCATTGGTGAGTTTGAAACTCTGCTTCATTGTTTAGGGATTTCACAGTTCGTTTCTGCATGTTTCATAAAGATGTTGAAAAGGAAGAGCTTCTCATATTTGTCAGCTCTTTGAAAATAGTCATTATTGATTCAACTAAGCTGCTCTTGATTATCTGCTGTGGATTTCTAGCTTGGTGTTTCTCTATTAAAACCTTGACTTGATGGTCATATAACTATATCATAGCAAGAAATAAAACATCAAGCCTTTCACCTTAATAGAAAATCCACTTTTTACAGTCTGCGGGCTGCTTGCCCTGTGATGCCAGAAAGACACTTCAGCTCGCAGGGTGAATCATTGGCCAGCTGCTCTGCTGCCTTGTGTTTTTGACTCTTGAAGGAGAGCTTGACATTGTTTAACATGTACAGAATTGAAAAGGAGTTAGATGTGAGGACAGACAGAGGAGAACTCTCCATAACTGGCCGTATCTACCTGGAGTTTCATTCTGAATGAAGCGTCCATGGTTCTCCCACCGCACGGCGCTCCCGTTTGCCCAGAACGGGATACCCCCGGACGAGCAAAGGTGCCCCCCAGGGCCTGGCTGCGTTTTGCTTTGTCCTCTTCTTTTTTCCCCAGAGGGTTAGACTGAGGAGAGCAGTAATGCAGGGGTAAGGAGAGGAAACATCCTCTTTTGCCTTCGTCTGGGTTCAAGGCTCTCTTGAACACCTGAGAGACTGATGTGATTCACTTCAAGGCTAGAATGTTCCGTGCTCCAAAACGAAGGTCGGCAGTGTGACTGTACAGTTACAGCAGAGGCGCCTGTCTGGACCCTGTGCCACCCCCTGCTTTAGCAAACCTCCTCCCCTGCACCTCTGAGAAAGGCACCTCCGTCACCCTCCCCTTAGTGTTTGGGGAGAATCCCGGTGAACAGCTGCCCTCTTCTCTGGGCGCCCAGAGCCAAACTTGGCCACTGAAGGCAAGCGCCCACCAGGCTGTTTGTCAGGTGAAAGTAAAAATGATGTAAAAACAGCTGTTTTTGGGTTTTTTTTTAAGATTTATTTATTTGTACATACAGAACTGGGGTACAGGCCAGAGGCTCAGGGGTGGCGAGAGGCTTCACCAGAGACAGAGCGGGGAGCAGAACAGGCAGATCGACGAAGTACACTGCTGAGGGGAGCAGCGGGCGGGCCAGGAGAGGTCTGCCACGCCATGTGGTCACCTCCGGGGCAGGCGGGAATCGAACTCGTGCGGAAGTGGCTTTAGCTTCTCAGTGCTGCGCTTTAACCCGCTGCGCCACCAGGGAGGGCCCACAGCTGTTTTTCTTTTTTTTTTAATCTCTGAGCACATCATTGTTTCTCTTTATTGCCAAAAAGTAGCAATGGTATTATTTCACATGAGAACTTATTTTTAAGGAGCGTTGAGCAAAATTTTGTGGTGTAAAATTTTGTTGTGTTCATGAGGCCGGTGTATCTGCCTTGATTGAATTTCCTTGCACTACAGCATGAATTCGAAACCAGTGTGCCTCCTACCCAAGGAATCATGCTTTACGGTGAAGCCGCTAATTTACTTCGGAGCTCCGCGTAGGTCTATGCTGAAGCAACATGATGTCTTAGCCAAAGTGGGAAACTGCCTTTGTTTTCACGTACCTCTTGCTTTCTAGCCTTGTTTTCTATTTGTACATTCATATTCTCTACCTCCCCTCCCCTACCCCCGCCAATAAGCAACTCTATAAAGTGGTTTTAAGCTTTCATGTTCTTGAGGTAACCAAATGGTATTATTTGAAATAGAAATCCTGCTGGAAATCCCTCCCTTTATATAAAGGTAATTACTTAGTCATTAGGGAGGGAAAAGTTAAAATGTTTAAAATGAGCCAGAGAATTATGAAACTGGCTCACTGAGAAAGGTGACATATTCTTTGGGGATGTGGAAAGTACTGACTTACTCAGTACTTCCTGGAGAATTACGTTGACACGTCTCTCTTGCAAAGAAAATGCATTAGTAATTTCTCTTATTTCAAATATCTGGGTGTGTTGGATCAAAATCATGTTTTTGAGGGGGAAAAAACACAGTATTTACCTGTGATAATCCAGTTTACCCCAGTCTCTTAAAATCAGTCCCTTCACGGTGACCGACTTTTTCATTTCATCTGCTAGAGGAACCTTTAGTTTTGTTAACTGATTTGCTAAAAAATAAATAAATAAATAATGATTATTTAACTTATGCTATTAGGAAAGCCTTCCTGGGTTTTAGAACATTTGCTTGTCCTCTCCAGTGACTTTCTCTCTCTCTTTCTCCTGATAAAGCAAATGAAAAAACACCCTTGCCGCCAGTGTGACAAATCCTTCAGCTCCTCACACAGCCTGTGCCGCCACAACCGCATCAAGCACAAAGGCATCAGGAAAGTGTATACGTGCGCGTAAGTCTCGGTTCCTGGGCGGGAGGCGCGGCTGCAGCTTGGGGAGGCTTTTTCCCCACCCACTTTCCATTCCCCAGTTCAGAGGTCTCATTTCTAGACGATACGCTGTTGTTTTAACTTACAGCGTCTGGGCTGGGCCGAAACACAAAGGCTAAAATACGGAGAGCTGTTTCTCGCTCGCCCGGGGGACGCCGAGCCCTGTGGGCATCTGGAGGAGCCTGTGGTGCGTGTTAGCACTGAGAACTGGGAGAGATGGCGGTTCGGTGAGATGCCCTTGGCTCAGTGGTCTGCAGCAGCCCACGCCAGGCTGGCAGTGGGTTCGGTCCCAGGCTGGCAGTGGGTTCAGTGCCAGGCTGGCAGTGGGTTCAGCTGGGCCCTCCGCCCTGGCTGCAGCCCCCGTCTGGTGAGGGCAGTTGTTGGCTCAGAGGCCAGGTGGGAAGCGCTCCGGCTGTGTATATGAAGATCGGGGCTTGATCTGCAGCCGCTGCTACTGGAACGCTTCCTCCCCATCCACCCAGAGCGAGCCGAAGGGAGCTGGTCACTTACTGGTAACTAGTCTTAAAGAGAAGAACAAGAACTGAGAGACAGGCGCCTCATGGCCAGCATGTGCGATGAGCTCAGCGGGCAGGCGCTGGGCTCTGGCTGTCCCGGCCCAGGCGCCCACGCAGGCGTCTGCAGGAGGCCCGGTCAGCGCGTGGGGACATGGATTCTCCCGCAGTGACATTGGAGCCGGGAGTGATTTTGGTAAGATAAAAGCCTGGAAATAAAATGTGTGTGTGGAGACTGTGGAAAGGTTTGGAGAATTTAGAAAGAAGCCCTCGGCCGAGGAGGAGATGAAAGGGGCCTGGCACGCGCTTCTTTGGTCTGGTGGGTTCTCCTCACCCGTGCCCCCCACGCACTGTCAGGAAACGTGAGGGCTGCCAGGCCCAGCTGCTGGCCACCCTCACCTTGAGCGTGTTTCTGTGCTGACTCCCACCACTGCTCCTGTAGAGGGGTCTTCGGCACGCAGTCATCGGGGTTCGAGGTCATAAAATAATCGCCAGAAAAATCAGCGAAGCCCTTCTGAAGGCAGTGAGCGTGGTTCTGCTGATGCCTTTCAAGGCCCGCCAGGCTCACTGCTGGGGCGCCCTTCCCGCCTCTGAGGGCGTCCGCGGCCCTCCCATAGGCCTATTTTAATTAAGAAAATGGTGAGTTAATATATTCGAAAGGAAAGCTATTCATCATCCACAGTGGGGGCGGTTTTGTTTTGCAAAAGATAAAATGGAAGGTCGAGTAACCAATCTGTTTTCGACCTCTGTCCAGTTTTCTACGTTTTAGTCTACCGAGTGGATGCGCATATTTGAGCGCTGTGATTGTCACCGTGCAGGCTCATTTATGCTTTGAAAAGGAGCTTGGGCTGGACACTCTGTCTCGTCTTTGTTGTGGCAAGGGGGTGCAGAATAGTGAGCCTCGGCGTGAGGGGCCAGGGAGGCCCGTCTTGTCACGCGCATCTTTCTGGATATAAGTTCTGAGGGAGCGCTGAGTCCTCATAAGAAAACTTGACATTTAACACTCTCTTTTAAAATTAAAACGACTTAAAGTTACGAGTCAAGTAATACTTTAGCCAAACCTGGAAGATAAATAAATAAATAAAACCAAAATAGGCTGGTTCAGAAAACTTGGAGTAAAAGCTACAAAAACTCTCCCCCCATGAGTTAGAAATTATGATCGCATAACAAACTTGTTCTTCAGCTGTGGACCACTGGGGTTCATAAAGCGTACCTGGTGTTGACATGGCTCACCACCTCAGTGTTCACACGGGTCACCTCTGCTGTCCGCAGGGTCATGACCCATGCCGTCCACAGGGTCACCGTGCCCCTCTGACAGCTCTGAAGGCCTCTCAGCACGGAGTTATTGTTCTGTTAAGTGCTTTCGGCAAGTTGTTTATCTTCCTTCCTTTTGCCTCGTAGGCACTGTCCAGACTCCAGACGGACCTTCACGAAGCGGTTGATGCTGGAGAAGCACATCCAACTCATGCATGGTATTAAGGATCCTGACTTGAAAGAAATGACGGAAGCCACCAATGAGGAGGACACAGAGATAAAAGAAGATACCAAGGTTCAGACATAGCAGATGTCCTTACAGGGAAATTGTGCTCAGTGGCTTCCCCTTTTCATTTAAAGTTGCCTACTAATTATATAACTGTCAACATTCAGGCGATGTCTAACAGTATAAAATAATAGGTCCTCTGCATCAGCACCATTTTAGCTTGCCCCTAAAGAAAATCCCCGTCAACAGGTTTCTTGGGTATCCTTCCAGATACAGCTTTTGAGCTCTACTTTAATATATGTCAAAAATTTTATGTGACTCATGGAAATTGCCCCCGAGCCAGAAAGGATGTGTAAAACTAAGATGCTTCACTGGTAACACGTCGGTGTAGCAGGCACCTAATAAAAAAACAGGGATTCCTTTCAGCCCCTCTCCGCAGTGATCAGGTTGAAATTCCAAGTCCGTGCCTTATCCTCGACCCTCGTCAGACAGCAGTGCCTGTGTGGACCTGCTTACCGGGCAGGTGTGTGCCAGCACCGCCTGGGCTGAGCCAGCAGAGTGGCAGATGCTGGAGAGATCCTGCTGTCCTTGGCACTGTGCTGCGTCTGGAATGTTCTGGATCAAGGCCCATTCGCGCTTTCAGGGAGTTAATCATTGAGTAAGGTCTCATCCGTATCCAAGTCAGACGAGTGTCCATTAAATCGTCTTTTCCCGCAAGCACTTAAACCATGTAACATACAGGGACGTTTTTAGGTCAAGGCCAGGTATGCTCCTTGCAGAGGGCCAGACGGACGGGCCGGGAGCAGGGAACAGGGAGCAGCACCCCTTAGACTTGGGCTTTTGGAAAGCTCGAAGTGAGGCCCCTTGGTTGGGTTCCATCCAGAAAGCTGAAGGGCAGGACAGAGAGCTGCCTGGCAGCAGGAGGGCTGTGGCGAAGGTGGTGGGCAGGAGAGACAGCTCCTGGTCCCAGTGAGTGTCCATGGCATTCTGCGTCAGTCTTCTCCCCCAGAAAGTGCTTTGCCTCGAGCACACACGGGCCCCTCCTCTGCAGCCACACCTGGCTCCCGCTGACCCCGCCCACGACCCGCCTCCCACTTGAGTTGGTGGCTGCACCTGCCCTGTCCCCCACAGGACTCCAGGGCGCCTGCCCCGGCAGCCACAGGCCGCTGCAGTTTCGCCTCTCCCTGAGGCCAGCCTGACCCCCACCCTCATGACACACCCCACAACCCCACCCATCGCTTGCCTCGAGCCCCCCCTTTTTTTCCCCAACTCTCTAGGCTTTGGCTTGTTGTCCTGTTCCCTCGGAGCCTCTCTTGCAGAAGGCCGGGCCTCGTCTGGCCATCGCCAGCCAGTTGGCTCGAGTGACCCAGGAGTCCCCGTTCCTGTAGTGGCTGGGAGGCCTGAGCCCACAGGGTGGGGGACACGCAGCTGCAAAGACCCGCCCCCGGCGCAGGCTGCAGGCTTTCCTGGGCTTGCTAGAGCACCCACCCGCGGTGCGCTCACGTGGTTGGTTTGCTTTCTCCCCGAAGGTTCCGAGCCCCAAGCGGAAGCTGGAAGAACCCGTGTTGGAGTTCCGACCCCCCAGAGGAGCCATCACCCAGCCCCTGAAAAAACTAAAGATCAACGTCTTCAAGGTGCACAAGTGCGCCGTGTGCGGCTTCACCACCGAGAACCTGCTGCAGTTCCACGAGCACATCCCGCAGCACAAGTCGGACGGCTCGTCCCACCAGTGCCGCGAGTGCGGCCTCTGCTACACGTCGCACGTCTCCCTGTCCCGGCACCTGTTCATCGTGCACAAGCTGAAGGAGCCCCAGCCGGCGGCCAAGCAGAACGGGGCCGGCGAAGACCACCAGCCGGAGAGCAAGCCGGGGCCCGAGGACGCGGCGGACGGCGCGCCGTCGGACCGCAAGTGCAAGGTGTGCGCCAAGACGTTCGAGACGGAGGCCGCCCTAAACGCGCACATGCGGACGCACGGCATGGCCTTCATCAAGTCCAAGAGGGTGAGCTCCGCCGACAAGTAGCCGCGGCCCGCGGCGCTGCGCGAGGCGTTTGTGGCCGGGCTTGGCCGCGCCTGGACCTGGCGGCCGGCGGCTGCCGGGTGTCCGCTCCGTGCCCCTTCCAGCCCGTTGCGTCCTCGATGCTAAGCGTTAAAGCAGTATTTGAGTTTAAAAGAGTTTGTATATATTTAAATGAATAACTTTTTATACTCTTTGTTACATGTTTGTATCAGTATTTAGCGGAAAACGTTTCGAGGTTTTGTTGGTTTGGGGGGGAGGGGCTAGACGTTTTCTTTTGTACTGTTTTCTTTAAAACGGAGTTCTTAGTAACCGGGGAAGTTCCTGAAATCAAATAAACCATTTTGTATGTTACGGATTTGAATGGGTTAACTAATTACAGGCCAAGAGAATGCCTTTTTTAGTGTTTTTAATTTTTAGAATTCACTACATCAATTGTAGATTACCGCGGGTCTCCCGCACTCTGGGGACTCCTAAGTGTCTTAGCGCCACCCTCAACGTGCCTGCTCCCTGCCGGGGGCGCACACTTCACCGGGCCGCCCGGCCTGCCGGCCCGGGCTGGAGGGGGCGCTCCGGGCCGCCATCAGGTAGCTCTGTCCGCTGCGCGGGTGACAACTTCGGCCAGAAGGGAGTGTGGATTCCCTTAACTCCCCTCAGAACCGGCGGCGAGTGGGGTGCCCTCCAGGGGAGAGCCGGGGGGCTGCTGGCCCCCGGCACAGTGGTCAGCCTGGCGTCCGGGGCCCCAGGAGGCCCGGTCAGGAAGGGCCAGGCTGCCACAGAGGATGCACGGGCGGTAGACCAGTGGATTCCTGGTAGCCAAGCTTCTGTCGTGTCACCTAGTAACCATAACAGAGACACAACTAAAAATATCTAGTAATTCTCTGGCTCTTGACAGGAAAAAAAAAAAAAAAAAACATTCACAGTTGACTTAACCCTTTGCTGTCTGAAGAGTTGGCGTTTCCTGTTCTGGGTGCTACCGCCAAATGTCCTGGTACTTAGAGTTGGATGCACAACTCAACGCCGACTTCTCAGCGAGCTGCCTGCAGCGTGGCGGCCCTGGGGTTAAGCGCCGAGCCGCCGGAGCCGCAGCTAGGTCGGCGCTTTAATAAGTATTTCTAACAGCAGTAGTTCTGCCTCGCCCGGGCGCAGCCGGGGTCGCTCCTGGCCCTTCCGTTCATGGTCCTCTGGGAGAGTGCTATATTTTGGTTTGCGTTTTCGTTTGCATTTTATATCTTGTATTTATCCCCAAACAGGTTTTGTACTTTTTCTTTTTCTTTTTCTTTTTTTAAAGAAAACCTTTTGTGTATATATAGATACTTGCATGGTAGACGTAGCCAACGTTCGGTTCCTCGAAAGGTCTTGCTGCTGTCAGGTGTAGGCTCTACATCCATTACTGTATTAAATACGTTTCGTATGTAAATAAACGTGGGACGCTGGCCCCCCGAGCTGCTGGGAGAGAGTCACTGACGGTGGGTCTCTGACGTCTTCATTACGTTTAGGAAATGATTCATTGCAGGGACAGGCTCCAGGATGTTGCAGAACTCTTCCCACTCAGAACGGCCTCTTCGTTCTCATCCGTCATCAGCCATTTGATCACTTTCTTGTTGACTCCAGCCGTTCGTCGGTGCAGTCCAAGGGTGTGATTGAGTTTTCCTCAACTTGAAGTTCAATTGCTGTTACTTGTTATATTTATACTTGTATTGCTCTTAAGTTGTATTCATGGCACTTTCATATGTTTCTGCATTGGAACCTTGCAATAAACCTGTGTGGTGGGCTGCACGGGTCTAATAGCCTATTTCACAGTCGAGGAAGCTGAGCTCAGATTAAGTTCTCTGCCTAAGCCCTCATAGCTGGTAAGTGGCTTTTGCGTATTAGAACCCAGATATTCTTGCTCTAAATCAAGTGTTCGCTCTATATGTTTATGTACATATTGACAAATACTCACTTATTTGACAAATAAAAAGAATGTGCAAAACACAATACTAGAATTTCTGTCTTTGGCACTATGACTTTTATGAGGTAATCTGTCTACTCAAATACTCAGGAGTGCTTGACAATAGGAGATAGCATCGATTGAAGGCCCATCCAAGAACATTAAAAGAAAGAAAACGCACAGGTGCAAAATGAAGATGAAACAGAGTAGGATGACAGCATACAGTGCTGTAGCCTGGGGACGAAGCCTGGGAGCTCACCAAAGAGAGACCCAACTGGAATGTAAGCCATGGTCGGATTCCCTGGAGTACAGCCCAGGGACAAGGAGGTCAGAAGTCAAGGACAGAAGAGAAGGTCCAACAAGTTTAATAGGAGTTCCAGAAGGGGATGGAGTTGGGAAGAGCTGGTGTGAGAAGTTCCTAGGCACTGACGAAAGACAAAGGTTTAACACGAACACTGGGCAAGAGTCCACCTTGGGTTTTTGAGTCTAACCCAGTCTTCATGAGTTGTAGATGCCAGGAGTGACTGTACCTTGAACGTTTGAGAAACTATCTCCAGACCAAGGCAGGAAGGACACACAAGGCTCCATGAATTCTTAGGGTGTCCTTCTCCCTGGTTAGTGGGAAGTGGGAGCTGAAGCTGACAGTAGATGTGGGCCAAGGTGTGAAGGGCCTTGGAAGGCACACTTGGGGATTCACACGGTCAGGAGTGAGCTACGTGGGCCAGAGGGACCACCAGATGAGGCAGGTACCACGATCAGGGGAAACGGGAGAGTATTGGCAGGTGCTAGGCTCTGCACGGTTACAACCCAACTCCGCAGCTTGGAACACGACTGCCTTTTCCCTCTCGGTGCACACCGTGGGATGACAGGAAACGCTGCTCCAGTTCTTGTCTGTTTATGCCAAAAGTTGCAGGCTATCGTGGCAGAGGACGACCGTTATGAAATACTGTGACCCAGAGTTACAGACATCACTTCTCATAACTCAGTGGCCAAAAGCAATTACACGGTCTCACTAATCACGGCCCGAAAGTTGAATCCTGCCGTGTAGAAGGGGCAGAGGCCAGACACACTGGCACAACAGATCACAGGGCTAATGAGAAATCCCCAGAGCTGTGGTACCTACAGTTCCATGTGGCTGTGAGGACTTGACCGGTGGGGGTCGGCTTGGAAAGAGACTTCAGTTGCCCAGGTAGCTTTCAGAAATAGTAGCAAGGTTTCATGCTGTGGGGTACAAAGAGAAATTTAATCCAAAAGTTCAAACCAAGGTTATTTTCCCAAGATTTTAGACTACGTATGTAGAAATAAGGAAGTAAATGGGCAAGATAAGAGCAAGATGTGTTTTGTTGGAATGTGTGCGGTTGGATGATTTGATCAGTAACGGAGGAACAGTGATTCATGACAAAGAATGCTGCTTGAGAGATGAGAAAAAGGAGAACACGGGCCCAGACTGTGCTACAAACTGCTTCCTCCCAAATGCATTCTCTGCAAATTTCTGACTCCAAAAAGCATTCCGAAGACCGGCTGTTGCTTCCTGAAGCTCTGGGGAGGAGCCATCTCGCCAGGGTCAGTGGGCTGGTGAGTTTTATCCCAGGAGCTTTGACCAACAGGAATTTCCTGTTGACATCTGTGGCCAAGATTAATATAAAATATTTCATACCAATACAGTCATCATGCTGTGAGCGCTCTTCACAAAAATACTTGAGGAAAATAGGAAACTGGAGAACTTCACCAAAATGACATAGGAACTTTTCGTTGATGTCAGAACAGTCTGGAAATGAAGTGTGCCAAATGTGGGAGGCTGTTTATGCCACTTAGTCACACACACACAGCAACTCTTCATTTTAAGGATACATTTTTTTTTTCGCTGAGCAAGTAGGTTACATTTTCTAAATAAGAAACTTTAGATATAATTACCTTAAAAAAAAAAAAAAAAAACTAAGGTCCTACTCATATACAATTTTGCCTAAATGGATCCTTGAAACATCTTGTTTACATCCAGTTTCTTGGTAGTTAATAACGGCATCCTGCCAATCACAAACCTTTGGGATAAACCAGTGTGACCTTATGCTGGTACAAAGAGCCCATCTTCCTGCTGCTGGAAGCTTCTGGACTAGCCTCCGGAAGCTTCTGTAACTCTGTAGTCACCATTACCTCCACCCTCTTACCGGTTGGGCGTGAGACTGAATTGGAGATGTATTTACCTAGGCCAGTTCTTTCCTATAAAAGCCTGACCTTTTCACATTTTTTCCTGTATCCTGTAGATTTTGGTGAACTTTTTTCCACAGACTGTTGAATGATAAAACTTCCATCCTTTTAGCTTGTGTTTTTCTGCGAGTATTTGCTACTTTTGTTGGAAAGGTAGCGTTAGGGGTGCCCAGAAGACCCTGTTTGAACGAGGACCCTTGCAGGACACTGCAGACCAGAAAAGGTTTTGCTTTAAGGGAGGACTAGGGGTGCACCCAGGGACTGCTGAGGCTGGCGGACCCTTGGGACTGCCCAGCAGGAGCAGGGCTTTGGAGGAAAAATTATAGGGGAGCCGTCTCATCACACTCGAAGATTTCCTGCCCACACCTCCCACGGCCCACATGGAATAAAGGCCTGGTCATAGCCTGTGACGTCAGTGCAAAGTGCGAGTGGGGTGTGGGGTGCAGGCAGGAGCTGGTCAGGCACCCACACTAGCTTCCGGAAGTGCTTGCCTACGCCTGTTTTACTGTCAACCTGCCTTTTATCTCCTTGAGGCCGCTGTCAGCAGGAGCAGGGTCCTTTAGATTCCTCATTTACCTCTTCTTCCTACTTTATCTTAACAGGTTTATCCCGGAATTATACCCTGCCCCTAGCGGTTATTTTTACTTCAGGAAACAGAAGAGCATTTCCCAGAAAATACTCTGCTCCTTTCTAAATTCAGTGTTGAAGGTTAGTTCTGACTCATACAGAGACACTATTTATAATGTTCCACTGGAGTTAAAGAACTGATTATTCAATTTGCTTTGCTATTTTATGGCAAGCTGCTTATCCTGGGGCTTTTCTTGAGCGGTAATTGTGAGCTAGCTACCAACTGTGGCGGGTCTGTTTCTAAACACCGTCCTCAGCGAAACTGTATTTCTATCTGGGGAAGCCTGTAATGAAAACTCACCATGTCACATCTCCAACGCAGTTCCAGGAAGTGTGGGGTTAGCCCAAGAGCAATTTTCTGTACTTCAGGTCAAGCGTAGCTTAGTTGGAGTGGTATTTCTGGAGAATGAACTTCAATATTGGATGGCAAAGAACCAGGAAGGCACAGATCTGCTCATTCGAGAGGATGGTGTGATGTTGACCAAGCAGGAAGGCAGAGTTGCTGTCTACCCCATCTTGGAAAGGGTGAAAGATGTATTTCTGAGCTGAGCAATGGACTTGTCTTGATCTCATCAGCTCGGCATCTGATCTCCTTCCAGGGTCAGGGAATCTGCTCTTTATGAGTCTCAACAAGCGCTGGGCCTTGCTTCCTATTCTGGACGCCTATTCAGGAGGTCATGGCCCTGTCTTCACATCCTATCCCCAGGCCGGGACCACCCCAGATGTGGCCCCAGCCTGGCTTCTGCCCTCATCTCAGCAGTGGCCACAAAAAGGCAGGGACAGCAGGGGTGAAGTCACATGCATGTCCTGGTGGCTTGGAGGTGATGATCATTGCGACTGCAAGTCAAGAGTCCTTGGTGGCCAGGGAAAGGGGAAGTTCGAGAAAGAAGAAAGAATGTGAGCTTTCCCAGCACCTGTCTGCCTTCTACAAGCCACCAAACTGTCTTGTACTCCTGGACATCAGGCTGCTATGATGCCAGGACATTCTGAGGCTTCAGTGCTTGCTTCCCTCTGAAGAAGACCCCATCCAAACTACGCGAAAAATCAGTTATTTTAGAAGAGACTTAGGGAGATAAAAGGAAGTGTGTGCCCTTCAATAGCTGTGAAAGCCCAACGAGGCCTTCTGCCCCTGAGCCTACATCCCGTCCCCTCCTCAACCCCATCTCCTCCAGCTCCTCTGCACCTCACCCCACCCCCTCCTGATTCACATCCCCTGCACGGACTGTACGCTGCCTGCAGTCTCCTCCCTCCATTGTGTTCTCACTGACTTGGCCGCCCCTTCCAGAAGTCACCTGCGCCCCTCTGCCTGGCAGAGGCAGTTGTCAGCCACAGCCTCTAACCCGTCGTGGGGTCCCCGCATCCCCACCTTGCGAGAGGTATGTTCATTTGCAGCCAGAGAGCAGCAGATATTAGTCACACTTTCCCTCAGTTTGGTCCTTATTCTTGTCAGCAGCAAACAACGCCTGTTGCCTCAAGTCCATGCCAAATGATGACGGGCCAGACGTGCTTCTGCAGAACTCGTTACTGGAATGAAGTGACCACACATTAGTAATGGCAGCAGCTAGCCATCGGGCCGGCAGGGGGACCTGGCTCCGGAGAGGAAGGCCTCTCTCTTTTGTCCTGTTTTTAAGCCCAGCACGTTGCCCATCACAGAACAGGTGCCTAAAGAGTCTCTGTGTAAGGACCTGAGCATCTTAAGTCTTAATTAGACATCATTTTATTTCTTGGGGGTCCTGGGAAAACACCATAAAGGTTCTGAGCTATAAATTACCTGAAAGTAAGATGCTTTTTCTCCTTAGGTGGTTTTTGTCATGAATGATTAAAATGTGGGTGTGTGTTCTGCTCTTTAAATTTTCTTCGCCAGTCTCAAGAGATTGAGTATTTAAATCTGAATTCTAAAAATATCATTCTTCAGTCCTCCCTGGTGATCCAACCGGTTAAAGCACAGAACTATGAAGCTCTCTGCAGCCACTGTAGCTGACTCACATGGTACAGACCTCTGCTGACCCGCCTACTGCTTCCCTCAGCAGTGTATTTCAGTACATCCACTTGTTCTGCTCCCCACTCCACCTCAGGTGAATCCTCTCACCTCCCCCACACCTCTGACCTGTATCCCACCCAGTTCTTATGTGCATAAATAAATAAATCTTTTTTTTAAAAAATCATTCTTATTTGCAATATTGATACAAAACTGACAGCTGGCTTGGAAATAAATCCAGGTTTCAGAGATTTTTCTGTTCAATCATTTTGAAATATTACCTAAACCTCTGGCGTTTTCAGATCTCACTTCCCTTTCTAACACAAAAAGATAGTTCAACACAGCAGATGGAATCAGAACTGCGAGGTAAAGCCAAGCAGTGTGTGCTCAGGACTTATGCCTTACTCTTCTATTAAAAACAACTGTGATTTCACACATGGGGACATTGAAGCATTGTGTGATGGAGCCAGACTTACACCCTCGCTCCAACTAGGGCACCTTTTAAGGTACAAATTGAGGCTTTCTATGTTCCAGGTTGGATGTTATCTTTCATCCAACTGTTAATTTCCACCTCAAATCCTCCTCAGAGGGCCATAACAGCAATGGAGACACTAAAAAGCAGATTATAATTTTGAAGGTCGAATTAGAGCATTTGAAGTTCAGAGAGGAACTTAAATTTGTATAAGGACATTCGATGTGGAATCTCTTCTACACCCTCATCCTATCATTATTCGAACATTCCAGGGTTAGAGACATCTGTACCATCTGAAATAACCCAATTCAGCTTTGAGTAGTTTTGACTACTAGAAAGTTCTTTTTTTTATTGCCTCTAAAATGCTGCGTTAAAATCCTGAGACCTAAAAATGCTGGCATCAGGAGTGTGGGCTTTGGGGAGGAGAGAGGTACTGAGGAACGGGATTCATGAGGTCCACTGAGATATCTCCCTGCAAGTCCACAGGGAGACAGCTGGCTATCGACCCAGAAACCTGGTCTCACCAGAACATCACCATGTGGGTCTTTGTGAGCCCTGTAAGGATAATCTGCAGAACTGTGAGAAATCAATTTCTGTTGTTTACAAGCCACTCAAAATAACACCCAGTCTGAAGCATTTTGTGATACAAGCCCAAACGGACTCAGACAAAGAGTAGGGCCCCATATGCTCGAGGCTTCTAGAAGCTGGTGAGCGGCTGAGTCAGTCACCCGAAATGGCTCAGACGTGTTCCGGCAGTATCAGCAAGAGCTCCTGATATTTGCACCCCATTTTTTGAGAAGATTTTTTTGTGCCTACAGAACTGAGGTACAGGCCAGAGATGCAGGGGCAGTGAGAGGCTTCACCAGAGACAGAGTGAGGAGCAGAACAGGCAGATCCACAAAGTACACTGCTGAGGGGAGCAGCGGGCGGGTCAGGAGAGGTCTGCCGCGCCATGTGGTCACCTCTGGGGCTGGAATCGAACTCACGCTGAAGTGGCTTTAGCTTCTTAGTGTTGGGCTTTAACCCGCTGCACCACCAGGGAGGGCCCCTTGCACCTCATTTTAAGGTAGTCGGCAGGTTACTATTTAAAGAAATTCTTTCTGGAAGGAAAATATTGACATCGCGAGAAACCCAGCCACACATTTTATGTTTTAGTAAAGAGGTGGGCACTGTGGCTGGATTTTTTTTTCTCGGGATCACTTCCTGCCCTGGAAGCATATTATGGGGGGCCAGTGTGAACGCGGGTGCGTGTGCGGGTCTGTCCCGCCACACCCGGATCCCCAGTGGGTTGCACCCCCAGCTAGCTGTGTCACCTTCAAAGTCAGGCCGCCCCTTGACAGATACACGGAATAACCCTCCCCCCAGCCCATCTCAAGGAAGCCCTTTTTCGCTTACTGTTTGCCCGAATGTTCCTCAAGTTAGCTTCCCAATCAAATATCGCCATTTACCACCCTCCGTGTGTTTTTAAACCCACAGCTGTATGTAAGACTCTTGAATTTGAGAAAGCCTAGCTTGATTCACTCTCGCTGGAAATGTTAATCTGCATAACCAAAGGAAGCCAGGTGGCCACCGGCCCCCGCATCCATTTTACTCAGCAATTACAAGTTGTGTGTAAATCGGTTTCCATGGTTCGTTCATCTCGGCCGCTTTGCAGGTGGCTGAGGAGACGCGGCTTGTCTGCGTGCTAAATTGTGAATGATGCCACATTGCCCCAACATGTCAGACCCGTGTTTCATAAATACAAGGCTCTCTGTCTGAAAGTGTTTTCTTTTCCTTGACAGGTTAAGCGACCGTGATGGTCCTGGCTCTGCTCTTGTGCCTGCTCTCTTTGTATTTTCAATTGCCATTTGTTTTTCCTGCAAGAAACATTTCTTTCAAGTGCATGCAAGACATCCATGAATTCCTTTCTGATCTGAATTCAATGAAGCCCAAAGAATATGCGTTAAGAAGTAAGTAGGTTTTGCTGACCCTTTGGGTAGGTGAACTTATGGCCATCTGAAGTTCTAGAAAACTCTTGAGAATTGAGAGCAAAGAGTCAGACAGGGCACACAAGAGGAACCTCCATTTGCAAATTGCATGGGGCATGGAGGGACCAAGGTAGGAGGTGGAAATTTTTATTGTTGAAGCCAGTAGAGGGAAGGGGCTGTAGTGTAGCCAGAAGGAATCTCATGAAGACCAACCTCTGAAGACTGGAGTTGTTTTTGACTTGTATGGTGGTGGTGTCCGCTATTGGTGAGCTGGCGGTGGTGGTGTCTTGTATTGGTGAGTTGGTAACATTTCACTGTTGAATGAGATAGTTTGGTTTATTTCTCTTTCTAGACGTTTTTCTGCATTTGATAATGAGTTGTTTCACTATTTTGGGAACAAGTGTCGAACAATATGTTCAATAGTAAATTCTGTTGGTGAATGCATAGGCCCAGGCTGATAGCCAGGCCTCTTTGCATGTGATAGAGATGGACTTCAGGCAGCTGTCATTTATTTTTATTTGTTAGCTTCCCAAAATCATTTTTGCAACTAAACCGACACATACCTTCCTGCTGGAAGGGTGCAGACAATCAGATCCGTCTGCAGTGGATAACCTCTCTGGGAGAATGATTCATTGTTGGTGCTGATGCAATCATACCCCCTCACCATTGCGTCCCCCCCCACTTCCTGCAAGAAAATTGTAGAAACTTGCTCTTTTCAAAACCAGAAAAACTGACATAGCAATTTCCATTTCCATTTTGAAAACAGGAGTAATTTATTTTGTGTTGGAAAATTCATAGTAGCATAATGTACATCATAGAGACAGACAATAATTGTGATCTAATACTGGGTAATTAGAAATAACACACACTTTGCAGCAACTGCCATTCTACAATGGGCTAGATGTTCTAATGTATAACAAAACAATGGGAGAATATAAATCCAATATCAACAGCCATCCGGAAGTCCCTCTTTGGAAATGATCATGTTTTGCTGCAGTACTTGGTAGTATTGACAGGGAACATTTTGACAAGCCAGCCAAATACGCTGGCCAAGAAAATCCAGAAGGTACGGTGACTGGCTCAGATTTCCGGTGATGAAGTTGCACATACCTTTTCCTTAGTCTCGGTCTTGTTAAATATTCATCTTGGGACTTACTTTAGTCATCCACTAAACCATGTTCTATCAGCATGAGCTTGAAAACGGAAAATCTTTTTTGTTTATTTAAAACAATTTTCTCATGAGCCCTTCCTGGTAGCGCAATGAGTTAAAGCACAGTACTACAAAGCTAGCTGCAGTGGCAAGAGTTCGATCCCCAGCCAGGGAGGTGACCCACATGGCGCGGCAGACCTCTCCTGACCCGCCTGCTGCTCCCCTCAGCAGTGTACCTCATAAGTCTGTTTTGTGCCCCAGTTCTGTGTGCACAGAAAAATAAATCTTAAAAAAATAAATAAAACAATTTTCCCAGGGTGAATGGTCCAGGAAAGAACGGAGTGGTTTATGTTCACAAGTCGATGCCCACTCCTGGATTTAGCTGATGAACATCATTACCTGCAGTCAGTGGTGTAAAGTGAGTTATCTTGAACACACCAGAAAACACTTGACATTGTTGCTTTGATGCTGCTGAGATTTTTGAGTGCCGTTTATGGTTCTGATGTTGAATTTCCTGATGAATATGTGGACGGAAAAATAATAAATGTCAATATTTGGGTTGTATTTTTACCTGGCAGACACAATTTCTAGCCCTTTGAAAGAGTCGTTGTTACCCTAACAACCCCACGTTAGGGAGGGCTATAAACAAGCAAACTGAGTTAGAGGTAGATAGACAGTATTTAATCTTAATAAAGCAAGTGTCAGAGCGCCCTCCCTGGTGGCACAACTGGTTAAAGCTCAGCGCTGTGAAGCTGTCCACAGCCACTGCAGCGCGAGCTAGATCCTTGGCCAGGGAGCTGACTCACAGGGCGCAGCAGACCTCCCCTGTCTCCCCATTGCTCCCCTCAGCAGTGAATTTCAGTCCATCCACCTGTTCTGCTCCCCACTCTGTCTCTGATGAATGCTCTCACCCCCGTACCTCTGGACTGTACCCCAATTCTACATGCATAAAAATCCCAATTTTTAAAAACTGTACCCTCACTTCTCCCAGACACCTTGTTCCTTTCTTCCTCCTGCTTTTCTTGAAAGCCAACCATGTTTATTCAACATTTAAATTGTATTTATTTTCTGTAACTTGTTTCTTTTTCTTGAGCTAAGGTTGGCTTACAGTCCATCTATGATTTAGGAGGATAGGTTCACCCCTTGCAGACGCAGGTTGCGTGGTGCTACCACAGCACGCCCACCACCTAAGCCCCATCGTCCTCCATAGTCCCTGGGGCTTCCTGCCCCATTTGTTTCCCGCCCTCTCCCTTCCCCTCTGGAGCCTCAATTCTGCCATCAGATTTCGAGGGTTGAAAACTAATCACATTTCAGGAACAAGGTTTTGAGTCATCAAAATCGTTCTAGGCCAGCAGCCCCAGGGCCTCTGTGCTCTTGCTGGTTATTCCAGAGCTTGCTGCCAGCCCCACCCATGTCGCCACCTGGCCAGACAGGTTTCCTCACCTGTGAAGAAGAGGTGCTTGCTCTCTTCCCTAAACTCTGAAAATCTGCCACAGCTTAAAAATGCCAGTTTCTGGTGGGTTGCAGTAGATGATTCTGAGTGCATGGGTGGCGGGCGTGGTGCGGTGACAGATACCTGAAGAGTTTGTACAGCGACATGGTGCTGTAACCGAGGCTGCCTTTAAAAATGGCAGGTTGTCTGCACCCCCAAGTTTATTGCTGCTTTATTTATAATAGAAAAAGCATGGAATCAACCCAAATGCCCAAAAGTAGATGACTGGGTTAAAAAGATGTGGTACATAAACACAATGGAATATTGCCTGGCAATCTAAAAAGATGAACACATGCCTTTTGCAGCAACATGGGTGGAGCTGGAAGGGATCATGCTTAGCGAAATAAGCCAGAAAGAAAAAGAAAAATACCAATGGTTTCACTCACAGCAGGAGCGTAACAGAGGAGGTGGGGTGGAGGGGAATAATCATAATGAACAACTATATGCCACAGGCATTTTATGGGGGTGGAGCGGGGAATGGCATCAAAAATGGGGTCAGGGGAGCGCACTGGACTATGGTGATGGCATGTGTGTGATTTGGTGATGGGAAGCCCATGGGGATTGCAACTGAGATGTGAAAATGCACAAAATTATGTAAAAATAAACTATTAAAAACTGTACCCTCACTTCAGGCATCTTTGATCTTTAAAAAAAAACTCCGAGTTCTAGCCCAGCAGAATGCTACATCTGGCTTGTGCAGGCATGTGAGAACCAGTTGTTAAATTTTTAGGCTGTTTGACAAACACAGTTGCGTATATATCACATGAATTTGTAATTAAACAAATCGCATTACTAACAAAGTCATGTTACTCAAAATTCATCCCATAAGAATTGTTTTACCACACACTTCCCTTATCTATACAGCTGCTCTAAATCGTTTAATGACGTTTTATTACAACATTGATGAGAAAAAAGAAATCCTGACCTGTACTGAGTAAAAGCACCTTATGGGAGGACCTGGCTCCTTACACATTGTTTTGCTTAAAGTCAAAGTTTCCAAGGGCCTGCTGATGACGTTAAGGGCAGACGTAGGGTGGTCACTGCACTTTGGAAGTTACTTAAGTGCTGGCCTGTGGGGTGGGAGTGGATCTCCATGAGTCTCCAACTCAAGTTCGGGTCGGAGCTGGAAATTAGCGGTGGTGGAAACATGTCGACTCTACTTACTGCTTTGTGGACTCTCGATGACCTCCAATTTTGTTGGAGAATATGTTAAAAATGCAAAACTATCTAAAAAGTGTGTTATGTCTCCAGGCATCACATTATAATGTGATGACATAAAAAGATGAGGAAATGGTTTTCAGTGCTTGAAAATTGTCCTATTCAGCAAAAGCATTGCCTAACACGGGCAGATGAATGCTGAGATACATCTCTCTTGTTCACTCATGTCTTACTTGATAAGGGGAACAAAATATCACCCCTGTTTGTGGTAATATGTTATAACAGTGGATAGGAAACGAATACACACACCATTCTCTCTTTTTTAAATATTTATTTGTTTATGCATACAGAGCTGGAGTACAGGCCAGAGGTGCAGGGGCCATGAGAGAGTTCACCAGAGACAGAGTGGGGAGCAGAACAGGCAGATCGATGAGGTACACCACTGAAGGGAGCAGTGGGTGAGTCAGGAGAGGTCTGCCGCGCCATGTGGTCACCTCCATGGCTGGGGATTGATCTTGCACTGCTGCACCCTAACCTGTTGCACCACCAGGGAGAGTCACACACAGGCCATTCTTATTCTCCAAATCCAAAATGAACTTGCAAAGATACTTGCAAAGAGCATGTTCAGGAAGTTGGATGGCACATTCAGGTCGTCTTACCAAGGGGATCGCTAGCAGCAGAGGGTTAGAATTTACATGTGTGCCCTGTATCATCAGCTGCATAAGGATGATTTAATTCCAGTTTTTGGAAACCTCCAGTGTAACATGTAATCTGCTAGGTGCTTAATAAATATTTGCTATTGATGATGAAGATGAGCATTATTTGCAAGATCTGTTTGTAGCTTGGTATTCTAGAAGTTTCTCTGCCTTCAACCTTATGTTATAAGTGCATTTGTACTTTAAAATTTAAGAGATTAATAACCCAGAGCTTAATCCACTCTGTGTTTAATATCCTCGTAACATCACTACCATGTGAGAAAGAAATTTGTCTGCCAATTAGACCAGCAAAATTGAAATGAATTCTTTTTAATCTTTGGAAAATGAAAACTTGAAACATCTGCCATATGATTTGAAATGGAAGGTGGGATTAATCATTAGTTTATTCTATCCCTCCTCCCACAATAATCACAATATGTTTTGATTGGATGGTTCCTGTGGCCTGGTGTCTCAGAATCTTGACAGA